TAGGTTCCCGAGCAAGCAACTTACCCGAAAAAAATTTTCACGGGCCCGTACGTGGGCACCACGCATACCCGGTGTCTGTGTTTGAGCTCACTGACACCTACGCGGGCAGGGAACGTCCCCTCAAAATTCCAGTTTCCTAGCTTCTCAGGTTCTCGAGCTAGCAGCTTACTTATCAGAAAAAAATTTTCACGGGCCCGTACGTGGGTTCCATGCATACCCGATGTTTGGGTTTGAGCTGACTAACACATACTTGGGTGGGGAATATCCGCTTAAAATTCCAGTCCTCTAGCTTCTCAGGTTCCGGAGTTAGCAGCTCACCCGAAAAAAAATTTGGCTGGCCTGTACGCGGGTATCACGTGTACCGCGGGCGGGTTTGAGCTCATCAACACCTACGCAGGTGGGAATCGTCCCCTTAAAATTACAGCCTTCTAACATTTCAGTTCCACGAATTGGCAACTTACCCGAAAAAAAAACCATGGCGGGCCCGTAACATGGGTACCATGCATACCCGGTGCCTGGCCTTGAGCTCATTAACACCTACGCGGGCGAGGAAAGTCCCCCTAAAATTCCAGTCTTCTAACTTTCAGATTCCCGAGCTAGCAATTTACCTGAAAAAAACTCTCACGGGCCTGTAGATGAGTACCACACATACGCGGGGGCTGGGTTTGGGCTCATTAACACCAACGTGAGCGGGAAACGTCCATTTAAAATCCCACTCTTCTAGCTTCTCAGGTTCCCGAGCTAGCAGCTTGCCCGTAAAAAACTTTGGCGGGCCCGTACGTGAGTACCACGCGGGTAGGAGCGCCCATTTTGGGGATGAGGGCCGGTACACACACGTAGATTATGTTTCCAAAATTTCAGCCTCGTAACTTTAGTAGGTCTCGAGATGGAAAACCTGTACAAACGAACACACCCACAGACATACACACGCACATACACATAGACAACCCCTCGTCAATATGCATTTTCTGCATTGCATAGCTGCAAAAAACGCATAATAACACTGTTAAACGTGGACACTGCTTATGTCACTCCTGAAAGAATGCTGTTATACAAATAAGGCAAACATACGATGAATACTGTCGAAGCGGAACAATCTTGCTGTTGAAACCGGCGCCGGATTCACTAAGCGGAACAACATCCTCTAGTTGTAACACTTTATTGCGTCTCGAGCCCCAGAACGACAAATATCCAATTCGAACATATTCATTGCTTTCGTTAACAGAAATCACACCAATCAATCTATTGAAAAACCTGTAAAATAAGTTAAAATTTTATCAGGAAATAAAGCAAAATGTTTTTTATGGATTTTTGCATATATGCAAATGCAATGCAGGCTGCAACGCACCAAACGTCGTTCATCCGAAAAATGCAAATTTGAAAAGAGTCGGAAGAGAACTGCGAAATTTGCAAAATGCACTTGCTTTTGAGTTTGCGATAAAATTGAGTATTTGTAATGCCTGCGTGTAGGACATTTCACCTCCTAGCCGGTTTAAGATCACACATGAATATAGAATATCCTTGCAATGTTTCAGCTTCGCAGCTTGCTCGGCAAACCAAATAGTGTGTTGTTAACGACCTGACTGCTACAAGTTTTGCGCTGAACTTGTAGCAATCAGGTCGTTAACAACACGCTGAACTTGTAGCAGTCAGGTTTTTGCGCTGAATTTGCAGCAGTCGGGTCCCCGAAATAGCGCTCTTACCCGCGTGGTACCCACGTACAGGCCCGCCAAGACTTTCTTCGGGTAAATTGTTAACTCGGGGACATGAAAAGCTAGAAGGCTGGAATTTTAAAGGGGTGATCCCCATCCAAGTACGCATTAATGAGCTCAAATTCGGCCCTCGGGTACGCGTGGAACCCATGTACGAGCCTGCCAAAGTTTTTTTCGGGTAGGTTGCTAATTGAGGAACTTGAAAAGCTAGAAGACTGGAATTTCAAAAAGGTGTTCCCCGTCCAGGCAGGCATTAATGAGCTCAAGCCCAGCTCCCGGCTATGCGTGGTACCAACGTACGAGCCTGCCAAAGTTTTCTACGGGCAAGATGTTAAACTCGGGAACAAGAGAAGCTATAAAGCTGAAATTTTAAGCGGAAGTTCTACGTCCGCGTAGGTCTTGATGAGTTCAAAACCAGCCCTCGGGTATGCATGGTACCCTCGTACGGGTCAGCCAAAATTTCTTCGGGTAAATTGCTAACTCGGGAACTTGAGAAGCTAGAAAGATGGGATTTTAAGAGGATGTTCCTGTCCATGTAAGTCTCAATGAGCTCAAACCCAGCCTCCGGGTATGCGTGGTACCTATATACGGGCCCGTGGAAGTTTTTCACGGGTAAGTTGCTAACTCAAGAATTTGAAAAGCTAGAAGACTGTAATTTAAGAGCATATTCACCGTTCAAGTAAGTCTCAATCAGCTCAAACCCAGACACAGGGTATGCGTCGTACCCACGCACGGCTCGTGAAAATTTTTTTCGGGTAAGTTGTTAACTCGAGAGCCAGGAAAGCTGGAAAGCTAAAATTTTAACGAGGTGTTTTCTGACAATTTTGGCGGCCAGTCTTAATTTGTTTAGCTAGAAGCATTTGCCGGAAAACCCGGTACCAGTAGCGACAAAAACTGCGGGGAACTATGCAAAAAACGCATCTTTGCACGGGCAGCCC